CAAGGATATTTACTACTTAATGAGTACTTTCACTTGAGTACTTTAAGTACATTGTACTTAACATACTTCTGTACCTTTATTTACTGTAAATAGGAGTTTAAATGCAGAGATCTTACTTGTAACAGAGCATTTTTATATTACCGTTGTGTACTTTTACCTAAGTAAAATACCTGTAAGTAAACAAATAGCCACATAACTACATTTCTTACACTCTAACAGCTTAAAGTACAGCATTTTATTTATACTGACAAAATTAAATTAGCCAGAGTACATCCTTGGAACCTGAAATAAACCTTCACTGTTGTTTCTGAGCATCATTTGTTGGCTGGACAAAACAAGACACGACTTTCCCCAGTGTTTGACATTGAACAAGAAAATAACACATTAATGAGCGACCCTTTTATTTTTTATTATTTCCAATCATTTATTCAGGATTTTCCCAAACCACCCATGTGTAGGTGTGAAACTGGAAAACAGTATTTAGGAGTCAAAGCTGACTGGTAACCTGTACCTGCCAATAGATGCTCTGAGTCTGGCACCCTGAGCCCAGCTGTCTCACGGTTTGTGGCCTGAAACTCTCCAAGGAATCCAGGATGGTTTGGTCCGGGAACAGGCCACGGATCTCCACAGCAGCTCCTGGTTCTTCTCCTTAAGCCTTAACTGATGGATTCACTCAGTTTACCTGAACAAGCAACACCTAGAGGAAAAAAGGGGGGATTAGCTGGAATCAAGACCAGAGAAGGGAAATGAGATGGTGCATGAGACAGAAACGGCAAAATAAAACTCTGGAATAATCAACATTTGTTGAAAAGCCAACCTGCAACGATCAAACGACCTTAAACTGACATATTTCCACACAAGATAATACACCGATCACAACATTCACTGAGCTGCAGAGAAAGAATCGACGGCTGACAGCGCCATCTGGTGGTGGTCTCCGTCCGTCCTGAAAGCTGGTTTCATTTTCTACACTTATTTTTAAACACAGCATTTACACTTGATTAAACTCATCGAAATGGTCATATCAGCTAATCTTTAGCACATACGCTACAGATGAACTATCTATGATTGCAGTCTGCGTTTGAGGGTAAAACTATTTCAAATTCTAGAAAAAATATAATAAAATTCCCAAGTTACCTTCTAACACTGCGTTTCTGGAGATAAGAAAACGCTAAATTCAATTATGAAGTGAAGGTTTTAGTCACTAAATCGTCATCGGAGTAAATAGTCCTCACGGCATCTAATGAGGTCGAATAGAGTTCACCTGTGTTTTCTCATGCAAGTGCTCATGGGAAATGCAGTTCAGAGTCGTCCTTTCCAAGTTCCAAAAACAGCGAAAGCTTTGCAGGCTGGAAGAAGTATTTATGTGTTTTACTTGGTGTAAGTACCAGTATAACCCTGGGAAAAATACTATATTACAAGCAGAAGTACTTAGAGTGTTAGAGTAAAATGTCTTGTGTGATGATAACTGAATCTGTCTGATGTTATCAGATTAACACCGATACACCAAAGCTTCAGCAGGGTTTTAATTTTGGAGGCAGGTGTAATTA